GACTACGGGACGCCGGAGGCAGAGTTGCTCTGCCCCGGGCTTCCTGGAATCAGCCGCTGATCAGTTTCAGCAGCAGCTGACTTGGGGACGCTTGGGGTTTGTAAGTTGATTCTGTATGTAAGTCGGAACTGGAGATCAGTTTCAGCAGCGGCTGAATCTGGACGCCAGTTCCGACTTACATACAGATTCAACTTAAGAACAAACCTACAGTCCCTATCTTGTACGTAACCCGGGGACTGCCTGTATTATGATGTCTCAATGGACATTATTTCTCTATGAAAAGAAATGTTCAGATATGCTCAGGTAAACTCTCTTAGTCCCACTGAAGTCACTGGGTCTCAAGCACATGCCTAGGTGCTTTCCTGAATTGAGACCTTTTGTTTCATTCCAATTCCACACTGAAAGCCATTGTCTTAAGGAATAAAATTATACTTTAGAGCAGGGGTGGGGAACCTTGTTTGGGTTGGGGGCCACTGACCCACAGAAAACTCAGTCAGGGGCTACACATGAGTGAGAAGCAACTCCCCTAAAAAAACCAACCCTCCCAAAAAACCCTCACTGACATGACCCCTGACTCAGAAGCAGAAAGACATTCCCCACATTCCCCACATACTCCCGAGCCTAGGGAGGCCCAAGCTACTAGATTTTGTGTCCCTCAGCCCTGTGGTGGGGCGGAGGAGAGGCTGAGGCACCAGCGCGGGCTCCCCAAGGCTGGACGGGAGGAAGGAGTCTTGAGCCTTGGGGACTGGATCCAGGCAAGTGTCCCCCAGGCCTTATGTTCTCCACCCCTCCTTTAGAGTGTACACTCTCAGGAAGGTATCAACCTGTGACCAGCCTTTGAAATTATGTCAATAAATGCAGCTAGCGTGCAGTGCTGCAAATTACAGTTGTCTGTTCATCAGTGTCATTTTATGTTATTTTGTGAACCATTCTAGGTGCATTTTTAAATCAAAATTTTGCGAGCAGACAAACTGAAAGGTTAGCAGTTCACCTGAATAATAATAATAATAAAGAAACCAGTGGGTTTTTTTCTGACCGTTCAATGGTAACTGTAAAAACATAAATGTTTCTATTTAAAAAAGTGTATAAATAAACATATGGATAACATACATATATGTGCTCATCTACAAAGTGTTTGTTGTCCTAAAAATGTTCAGTCTATCATAAGCAGCTGTTGGTTCAGTTTAGCAGCTGGAGAAGTTGTAGTGGGGCACTTTTATTGTCTTCAGACGTTAACTCAATTTCTTTCTAGTTTTCCTCTACCTCTTTCTTGCCCGTAACCTGCCTCCCCTAGCATCTGCTGCTGATTGATCTCTCTCTCCCCTGCTCCTTTCCCATCCTTCCCCTGTCGCCCTACTTGATCTGCCAGTTTTGCCATCCTTTTGATTGTCTTTTCCCACCCCTTTTCCTCTGCTAGTCTCACCATTTCCAGCTTCTCCAGCCCACTCCTCCATTTCTTTCCTTTACATTCTTAGCCCACCTTTCTCTGCTACATACTTCAGTCTTCCCCTCTGGCCTCATCTCTCCTTCTTTTGTACCGTCCACCAATTGCTTGGCCCTTTCTTCCTAGTCTAAGTTTCTCGTGCATCTTTGCAAGGTGTATTGGCTTTAGGGGTAAGTCCTACCTGATGCTGCTTGTCAATTTCATATATGGTACATGCAGTACCTTAGTGAGTTTTGTTCTCCTGTAGTCACTTGTGCTTCATGGCCCTTATTTAGCACCACAATTTTGCGGTTGATGTCAGTGGACCTGTGCATATTATACAAAGTAACATACAGATAGAATCCATGCTGTGTGCAACAAAATAACATCACAAGAGATAATGTCAAGCTTAATAAAGATCATTTTGCTAGAACGTGGCTAGCCAAGATTTTTAGAGATGTTTTGGTGAATGTGCTTTTGTTAATTGCATATTCAAAGCTGACATTCAGTTTCTGATTGAGGGTAGAAGAGTCCAGAGAATCAGAAAAATGCCACAATCAATGTACTTGCATTTTAGGGCTACCGGAGGGAAGAAAGCAGTGGTTCCTGTTGTGGGAGATGTGTGGCAACGTCATGTGGTATCAGGCTGAGAGATGGAAGAATCCTGTATCTGAAGGTCTGTTTTAAGCTTACCCATTTTTGGTGATTACCTGTAAATGCCATCCATGCTCTTTAGTTAGACAGGTATCTGCTGCAGACACAAATATTTTCAAAGAAATTAGAGATGATGTGAGCCCAAAGACCCCGAGTTTTGGGTTAAATCCAAACAAATATGAACAAGACAGAATGAATAAAGGTCAGTACAATATCTAGATCCATCAAAACTTTTCCTGGATTGATGTTTGAATTTAGTATGAACAAGACAGAATGAATAAAGGTCAGTCCAGTATCTAGATCCATCAAAACTTTCCCTGGATTGATGTTTGAATTTAGATGCACTTTTGGTCATAGCTTAATATTGCATCATCAATCATTTCATTAAGTGATCAGCGGCTATTGGAAATGGACCTTGAGCACCCCCCAAAGCATTAGAAGCTGTGTGCTTGTTAAAAAGCTACCACTGTGTCTTAGGAAAGAGCATGTATGTACCTTTTTTCACTAGTTTGATTAAGTTCTCATTTATGATCTTTTAAGAATCTCCCCATTTTAATGAAGGCCAGGTCTGCACTTATCCGGAGACCATCATTCTGGAGCTCAATCTTCCAGGATTTGATTTAGTGGGTCTGTTAAGGACCCACTAAATTGACTGCTGATAGCATCCCCAGTCGGACCCACTAAATCGACTGCTGATAGCATCCCCAGTAAAGCTCCGAACTCCCATGGGGTCATAAGGGAGGCTGACGGTAGAGTTTCTCTCATTGACTTCCCACAGCAGGGACACTGCAGAAATTTGACTTAAGGGACATCAACTCCATCTACTCTAGTCTCATAGCTGGAGTTATGTATCTTAGGTTGACTTTCTCATGTAGTGTAGACTTGGCCTATAGTTAAATATTCATTTATATTTTTTTCCTTAAAAGATAGAACACAAAGCTGCAAACTTAGGGCCAAATCCTCAGGTTTTTTTGCTCACATTTTACTCAGTCCTTACTCAGAAACGCTCCCCTTGAAGTCCTTGGGAATTTTGCCAGAGTGAGGACTTGGCGAGGACATCGGGTTTTGGCACGTAGTAAGGCTTCAGGGTACGTGCTTTCTCACATGTCTACTGAGTACCATGAACATTGATGGCATCGTATCAATAAATGATTAAAACTAGAAGGTGTTATTGACGTACAAGTATATTTAGCAAAGATTTCCATGTTTTGTAATCCTCACTTCTGGGGCATATTAGTTGAATGACAATGAAATAATAATAGTCAGACTTTATAGTTTCCTGAAAACTGTGGCCTTCCAGGTTGTTTTTGTGCTAAGTTAACAGCTTTTAAATCTTTACAGCCGAATGAGACAATTCAAGATGGCTGTGACAGTCATTCTTGTAAAGTAAATGAGAAAAGGGAATTTATCTGGGAAAAGCGAATCACTGGCTGCCCTCCATTCGATTCCAGGAGATGTTTGGCTGAAGGCGTAAGTAATGAAATGGGTCCTATTTGAATGTTTCTGAGTAGACTCTGTCATGTTTATGGGTCTTTATATGGATCCCGTATGTTCATTAGAGATGGATAACCCACACCTCTGCTAAACTGAATCTGAACCCTTTTTAGGTTTAGAGGAGTTTTTTTTTTAAACTTAAATAATAAATGTCACATGCTCCTGCACATCCTGATTTCAGATGGAATCATGATACCATTGGAAAGGCTGATCTTGCAGTATTTCTAGCCCATCGAAAGCCAGGATGTCCTGGGGGCTGGAGGGAGAATGCTGATCTCTCAATGTTTCCAGTCCAGTTTTCAGAGCAAAGAGGTGTGGATAAGCATCTGGTCCTGAGTTTCAGCCATCACTGAAGTGCACATCTGTACTCATGACTTAGAGGCAGATTCTGGCCACACTTGAGAGAGTGTATGGAGCTGGGAGGAGGATGCTGGTAGCTTTCCCCTTTGTATAGGGAGCTGTCTAAAGCCAGGTATTGTCACTCACTAAGTGCAATAACATGGGGAGTGATAGCACTGCTAGATGTATCCCCTGGCACTCAAACCTGCCTGCATTGCTTTATAACTTGAGCCAGCCTTGAGCTGGGAAGTGGAGTGCAAACTGTGGTCTTTTAAAGGATATAGCAGTAATTGCCTGCCTGTGTCTGTTTCTTATAACATGGTGCGTGGGGAGGGGGGGGTAACGAGGCCATCGTCAAGTCCACCCATTATAGTGGATTTGTCTCATACACGCACAAAGCGCAATCTGATTCTGAAACTCGTTATTCAGAAAGATTAAAGCTTTTCATAACCTCTGTATTCTTTTTCTGCTGTCACTGCTGCACATTGCTCTATAAACAGAAGAGAGCTATATGTGAAAGATAATGGGATATAACCAGAGCCACAAAAGGGGTGTTATCTCCCTCTAAAGGCCTCATTTCCAAATCAAAGTTTGCTTTTTAATGGGCAAGTCCCACTATCAAGCTCCTGTTTTTTAAAATAATTTTTCAAAATGTACCCAGGCCCTAAATACATCCTTATGCAGTTACTGACTCACAGGGTCAGATGACTCTCTGAAGCAGGATCAGAGATCCAATGATTATAGTGGCAGCCATTTTGAAACAATGTGTAAATGAAAATATAGTTACATATGCCCCATTTTTAACCTTCAGCATATTTTTAGCAGGAAAAAAGTATTATTCTGGCACACCTGTTCAGCCCTGCAATTGCTTAAACAGGCAGGAGAAATCCAGCTCTTTGAATGTTATACTTTGTCAAAGAGTAGACTCATGGCTGTCATATCTGCTTGTGGTTGCATGTAAGCTGTTCCAGGCCTGCAGTGGTCTGTTTCTTCTTGTGACTCAACAGTCTGGTCTGGTCACATATGGTCCCATCTCTTTCTGGGTCATCTGTATCTTTAGATGCTGGGTTTTCTGCACCTAAGTCTTTTCCAGCTCTTAACTCCAGGACTTCCACACTATCTTTGTCAATGGGCTGGTGGGGGAACCAAGACCTTCCCTCTACTATAGGTTCCAGATTAGGAACCTGTAAGAAACAGCTAATGTCTGCCTATTCATATCTGGTTTTTGTACAGCAATCTGCCTCTAGGCTTTTCCTAGGGTTGCCAGTCTGCCAGGATTCCCCTGGAGTTTCAAGGAATTAAAGCTTAATATTTAATTAAATATTATGTCATGTGACTAAATCTCCAGAAATATGTCCAACCAAATTGGCAGCCTCTTTAGAGATATATTCTTCTGCAGACCCCAAAAGGAAAATCCCCATAGTCCCAGGGAACAAAGTATATGTGGGGGTGTGTCTAGACTACCTAATTTTGTCGACAAAAGTGGACTTTTGTCGACAAAACTATACCAGCGTCTACACTACCACTGAGTTCTGTCGACATAACGTCAACAGAACTCAGCAGTTTTGTCGACGTATGTAAACCTCATTTTACGAGGCATAACACCTTCTGTCGACAGAACTCTGTTGACAGAAGGTGTTATTGCCTGTAACACTGCGTCCAGACTACGGAGTTCTGTCGACAAAGCAGCTTGCTTTGTCGACAGAATTCAATGTGTCTGGACGCTCTTTGTCGACGGAAGTTTTGTCGACAGTATCTGTCGACAAAACTTCCGTCGACAAAACGCAGTAGTCTAGATGTACCCTGAGAGTCCTGTGCTGGACCAGCCTGCCCCTAGGAATGTTTTGATGTCTGATCATCTGCCAGCCCCAGGTAGGCCTTCTTTCAGGTAGTCCAGAGAGAGCATCTGGCTCCAGCTGAGCCATCTTTCAGTGTTCTAGCACAAGAGGCATTCTCTTTCTTGTTAGCCTCCACTGAGTTGGGCTTTTCCCCTTTTATCTCCTCCATCTTGGGGTGAAATAGGGCCAGGGCCAACTGAGCCCACAGGTTTTCATGAATCCTTTCAGCCTCGTGTGGTAGTTGTGTACCCTGTCAGCATCTAGTATATATCTCAGTATTGTATTTCATAATCTGATTGCCTGCTTATTAGCATGAGTATTCTGTTATGGGCCAAAGTGTGCTCTGACTTACACTGGTGTAAATCATGAATAACTCTCATTTAAGTAAATGTAGTTGCACCTGTGTAAGGGCAGATTCAAATCCTATGTGCTTTATGAATCTTGTGATACTGCAGATCAAAGAGTGTTAGGCAAGGTTTATTTTAAAAGCTTATAATAAATGTAAGCGGAGAATAATGTTTTCAGAAGGTCATGAGAATTATGGCTTCAAAAGGTAAAAATTGGTTTGTACAGCTAATGACATTCAGGTGTTACACAATAATGATGCTTTAAGAGCAATATAGGTTTTGTGTGGAAAAAAACTTTAAAGCTGCCTAATATTCCTAAATTTTAATGAAATCATATGATAGGAAAATTAGCATTTCTGCAAATTTTTATGATATATCTAATATAGGAACATATTTCATAACTTCTTATTATAGAGAAATTGAATATAAGAGTGAATATTTTGAGATGTGTGTGTAAATATTGTTTATGCCTAAACTGCAGCATGTGTTCTCTCTTAGGGTAAAATTGAAAAAATTGAGAATACCTGTTGTGACACATGTAAGTAACTATATTATAAACGTTTTTCTTTTACAACCACTCAAAATGCAGTTTACTACACAAGATGCCATGTTTTGCATTTATGATATGGGTACAAGGAGAATTCAAAAAATCCAAACATATGTCAACACCGATTCACATATTTTTATGATCGAAATCAGAGTTTGTCTCTCTGTGATTTGTGTGATCATATGGTTCATGATTGTTTATACAACAGAAGAGTATGCCTAGAAAACATTGGGAAATCCCTCAAATTTCATACATTTTAGCATGAGTAATCAGTCATTCTAAAATTGATTATGAATGTTTATAATTCATTAGTCATTTTTTCTAATTTATTTTAAAAAATCAGTAAATTAGCCAGAGAGCAGGAACAGCCCACGTAAACGTAGTGACCAATTACTCACCCTGTTGTTGATTATATGAAGCAAATACAGGCAGTCCCCGAGTTACGTGGATCCGACTTACGTCGGATCCCTACATACGAATGGGGCTTTTCTCGCTGCGGAGGACGCGGGCAGCGGGACCGCCCAGATGTGCCGCAGTCCCGCTGCCCACGTCCCCCGTGGCGAGAAAAGCTGCTCCGCGTCTCCCTGGTCTGTTGTTATGGGCCCCCCCAGCAGACCAAGGAGACGCGGAGCAAAGCCGCGGAGGACGCGGACGGTGGGACTGCGGCGCGTCTTGGCGATCCTGCCGGCCGCATCTCCCTGGTCTGCTGGGGTGGGGGCGCAGCTAGTGCACTCCCCCCCAGGAGACCAGGCTTTTCTCGCTGACGCCTGGGGTAGAGCAGCTGGGGTGCTGCTGGGTTGGTCCCCGCTGCGCCGGGGTGCGGCGCTGCGGGGACCTACCCAGCAGCGCCCCAGCTGCTCTGTCCCAGGCGTCCAGATTCAGCCGCTGTTGAAACTGATCAGCGGCTGGTTCCAGGAAGCCCGGGGCAGAGCAGCTCTGCCTCGGGCTTCCTGTAGTCAGCCGCTGGTCAGTTTCAACAGCAGCTGAATTTGGACGCCAGTTCTGACTTACATACAAATTCAACTTAAGAATAAACCTACAGTCCCTATCTTGTACGTAACCCGGAGACTGCCTGTATTTGGCGAATGCTCCATAGGCATAACATTATTTAGTAAAACAATCCAGTGAAAACTGAATGATGAATATGGAAATCATGTTCTGTTTGTGAATGATTTAATAACCATAAAGTGAGATGAATTCATAACAAATGTGTATTTATTTATAATGATTAGTTTGAGTGGGTTTCAAAATAAACAGGTTTGGCCAAACCTGCAAACTGTTAGCCATGTGAGCCTTACATTAGTCATGCCATTAGTTTCAGCCGGGCTACTCCAGAGGGTGGGGTTTGCTTGCAAGAATAAGGGTTGCAGGATTATGCTATTATCCCTACCCTAACCTTTGAATATTTCCGTGAACATAAAGGCTTACTTTTGCAACTTTGCCAATAACTTCATAATTATTCATCAATTTATTTTTGCTGTTAACTAAAATAAAAAGACTCCTTTTTAAGGTCAAAATGTCAGCACCTTGTGTGCCCTCTGTTCTCTCTCTTTTATTTGTTCTGGGCATGTGCTAATAAATAAAAAATGGCAAGCACAGAAGACCATCATTGCACAGCCACAGTAATTGCTGTAACAATACACCAGTTTGGGGAAGTTAACTCCGAGAGCATTTGCTTCCATTGCCTCTCTACATATCAGTGAGTTCCGGGTTTAAGAAATGAAAGTCAGGAAGCTATTGAGATAATAGACCATCATTGAATGGCTCACACAAGTAATTTACTTAAGAGGGCTTTTATATATCAGACTTCAAGCAAAGAATTAATATTGAAAGTTGCCTATTAACCTTTACACATTTCAATGTTCTGTTTAAAAGACTGAGGGAGACTCGTAAGTGGGAAAGGGAGCACCATTTTTTATGAATGTACCAAAATTAGGGTTCCCACATGTCTGGTTTTTGACCAGAACACCCAGCCGAAAGGAGACCTTTGTGGTGCCAGTCGGCACAGCGGACTGGAATGTTGACAATCTGATCGGGGTGCAGTAGGGGCCCAGGACTAACTCAGGCTGACTCTGACATGAGAGCTCATTCATGGAGAGGATTAAAGTAGCAAAAAAATAAAAAGGAAGTGGCCTCACCATTGTGTTTCTCGTCCTCCCCAAAGACACTAATGATGCCAATTTAACAAGAATTGTCCTAGCCATCTGTCGACACACAGTAAGTCCCTATGTCAAAGGGAACTAAAACCAATATATTTTAGAGCCATCTATATGCAGGATAATAGAAAAATCACAAACAAGGAGGCTGACATTTTAAAAACCCACTAGAGGCTTTAGTCACATAGCTCTAATGGAAATTAATTGTGTGGTTCAGTGTTCTGGTTGGCTTAGACCATCTCAGCCTGTAAATTTACAGTCAGGATCAGAGAGAAGAAAAACAACCCTTAGCATTTATAGTAAATGCATCCTATGGATCCTAACCCTTCAATCATCACAGTATATTTACCTTAAATGTCATTTAACACACACTCATCTGCTTTCAAAAGGAGCTCTATCTCTGGTGATCAGATCTCTTTCATGCTACGTAGGCTACTGGCTTAGAGTCAAATGGTAATTTTCCTCAGGTGCACTTTTTCTTTTTACCCCCATGCTTTTAATTAAATATCTCCCATGGTCTTAACAATACGTAGCCTGTTACATATATCCCAGATAATAGAATAATCAATTTCTTGCAGCTGTAAAGGTTGATCTACAGGTCGCATAACCGTTCCATGTCATCCAGCCATTAAAAATAGATGCTGTTCAGTTCAAGGTGCAAATTAGGGTTTTGACTGTGGTGTATAAAGCCTGATACTGGCTGGGGAGTTGCTTATCTAATGAAGCGCTCCTCCCTCTTTGTGTGATGCCAAAGCAATTGAGGTCAGCTCGTGTGCTTGAGTGAATGGTTCCCTGTCTTCTTCACGAGGAAGTAGGTAGCTGAATATTTTCAGGGCTGAGTGCCCTTCCACTCTTGTACTTGCTCCCCAGCTGCTCCAATGGCATGTGTTGTTATGGGCCTCAGGAAATAGTGCAGGATTTATCATTTTACTCAAGCAGTTCCCCAACGGCCCTGTGCTCCCCGCAGCGTTTCAAAGTGGCAGTTCTGCGTGGAGCCAAGGGTCAACGGAGGAGTCTCCAGCTGGCCCCAGGCTCCATGCGGCGCTGCTGCTTTGAAGCACAGGGGGAGCACAGGGCCATTGGGGGACTACAAATTGCATCGACTATTCGATGACTCAATTAATCTAAATTTAACTTCCTTAGGGAGTGAGATGATAGGTACATGAGGTGCTCAAGGATGAGATTGTACAGACAGGATGGAAGCCTTTTCTTTCCTCCTCTGGAAGAAGCATAGTTGTGTCACTGCAATTTATCTTTTTTCCATTCTGATCTCAATGCTGTCCACTTCATTAAATTATGTATATGTGGCCTGACCTGTGTGGAGTGGGAATGGCTTATGCAATCCAAAATAAACCAAAGTGATGTGGTTGGAAAGTACATCTCTCAGCTAGGAGCAAAGAGACATTGATGATATAGGGACAGTCTGATGACTACTCGTTTGAAATGGGATTTGGGTCAACTCTTGTGACTGTCCATGTCTGCATTCTGCTTAGACTTCTTTTATCAGACAGTGTTTAAAAATCATTGAAAGTGAGTTGGTGCTACCAGCCTGGGAGCCAGAAATATTTTGCAAGCTTATACAGCTTTTTTTCAGATGACTTGTAAAGTGCTAGAAAGGTAGAAAAACAATCAAGTGGCTGCTTTAGCTGCTGGGAAGACACTGAAATCAAAGGGAAGTTATATATCTGTGATCAATCTGTAGCTGGCCAGCTGATTCCAATGTCTCTGCAGAGAAGGATAATACTACTGAAATCAAAGGGAAGTTATATATCTTTGATCAATCTGCAGCTGGCCAGCTGATTCCAATGTCTGTGCAGAGAAGGATAATACAGAAAGTAAAAATATTTTCTAATTGCTGAAAAGTCGACTTGAGCTCTGAATAATAGGCAGTCACAGAAGATTCACTTGCTAGCTCGAAAATTAAAGCAAGAGTTCATTTTTGCACCTAGGAATGGTGCTGTATTAACACTGAAAATGAAAAGCAAAACTGCTTCCTGGGTGTAGAAAGGCCATTTCGAATAGAATTAGCTCCTTCATAAATCATTAGGTAGCATGGGAAAATGAATGAAGTGGATTGTCTTATCATATGTAAAACATCTGGATCTATAAAGGGAGCTGTTCTCCAGTCATTACTATACCCTATGGGCTTTGGTAGCCATGGTTCATGGGTCTAGTCAGCAGGTCTACTGCTCTATTGCCTCTTATGTGGATTCCACACGAGGTGGAGAGGTGGGATAGTTAGCGTTTATCCTCTGGTCAGCCAAGAGCCCCAAGGGGAAGTTGCTCAGGGTGGAATCCTGTCCCCATTAAAGTCACTGGCAAACTTCCACTGACTGAAGTCCAGCTTTTGTTCTGAGTCCTGCAATGAAAGGGCAGAATTGAATCCCATTATTTTCATGCTACAAAATCCAACATAGGTATCAGAGTAAATTTTCATAGGAAATAACTCAATCAGGACAAGTTAAGTTAATGCTGACTAAAGGAAGTGTCACGCCAAAATTAATTTTTGGTGCTCATTTCTTGACACCTCCTGGCATTGTACCTGCTTACACCAAGACTAACTATTGCAAGTGTTAACTGCAGTAAAGAATGTAATCCCTTTCTGCAGGATATTCCCTGTCTCTCAGACTTGGGAGCCAATCAAGATCAACGACTAATGACCAGTTGTGAAGTAATGGGAAAAGAGTGTATTTTACTGGTTGCAACTTAAAACGCTGCAGTGATGCAACTGCATATTTTTTATTTAACAATAGACCATCAAAATCCAATTGTTTTTACTGTTTGTTTCTGTGTTGGTTTATGTAGGAACTTAGTGCTGTTTAATGGAATCTTAAAGCTGCAATACTGTATATTCACAGTACTGTGTTAATTACCATACGGAAATATACCTACTTCTTTTTCTGTGTCTGGGTCTTGCTAATAGTGAATCACATATGGCCAATGGCATTTTTTGTGCATACTAAGCAGAGTAGTGCCACAATGTTTTGTAAAAATACCTTTACCCTTGGCAAATTCCCTTTCTTTCTTGACTTGGTAGGTATAGAAGTAGAATGCAGACAAGTAAGTTTCAGGCTGACGACTGAGTTTCTGGATATCGATGGCTGTATGGCTGAACATGAAGTATCTATTGTTCAGTGTGAGGTAAGAAACACCTATTATCGAGTTTCTGGATATCGATGGCTGTATGGCTGAACATGAAATATCTATTGTCCAGTGTGAGGTAAGAAACACCTATTATTCTGTCCATGCAGAGCTGTGGAAAAGCATGACACACTTTCAAAGGGAGTGGTTTGCTACACTTTTGCATAGTAGGAAATCACAATGCTATTTTCCCTCCTTTTGCTGGGTAAAAGTATGGCTGGTTCACCCCTCACTGCTCAAAGTCAAGGTAAATGGCCTTTGCGCAGGGAATCTCAGCAAGGTTGGTTGAAGGGAATTAATTTGCCTCTGTTCCACCTGCGGGGCAAGTCACTGGCTCCCCACCTAGCTTCTACTTCACTCAACAGATTAAAACATGGGCTTCTGCCTCTGCACCAGTTATGCAGGAGTTTCAGCTGTGCACATTGATTCCATTTAGTCTAACCTCCCTCCTGGGGGCTGATAAGGAAACCCATTCTGAAATACACAGACACTCCATTGATGTTGCTTCTGGTTCCTGGAGAACCATGTGGGTATTTAATTGCCTTGCGGGGATCTTCTCAACTTGAGTGAATTTCACCCTTAATTTTAAGGGGCCCAGTTTTCAAATCTGTGACCCTAAGGTTAGGCCACAAATCCCCATGTAGTCTCCTAAATCAACACATCAATGCCTAAATAAGTATTTAGGTGCCTCACATTTAAGAACCCAGGTTTAAAAGCTGAGCTCTGTAAGATTTGACATGACTTCAGTATTTGAGCCCACACAGTGTGCTCTTGTGTTACATTATCCCATCAATTTCCAGAATTTGAACAAAAGCATAATGCCACAGAATTCCCCTCCCTACCACTCCACTCATGTAATACAGCTGATACAATATGAAACAGGAGCAGAACATTCCTTCCAGATGTCCCCTTCTATCTGTGATAGATGGCACCGGGAAACAAATTAGAAGCTCAGTTCCCAGACTGGCTGCAACAGAATAACTTCCCATTCTGTTTTTATTGTGGCTGCATTTTTCCTTTAAATCCCACTGGCTTTAGGGGAGGGCAATTTCCTTTAGCACCTGCTCATGGGGATAATTTCTTTGACTATTGTGGTAGCCAAATGGGACATTTTCCTCCTTTCTGCAACCAGCTGGGAAAGGGTGAAATTGGGTACAGTGATTTGGGACCATGTGCCCCAGAGTCTTCAAGATCAGTTCTCAAAGCATTAAACCTTTGAGGGCAGAGGGCACTTGACCAGTGCAGAAATGCTGTCCATTACTTGCTTATGTTCCAAATAAGAAAACTGCTGCATTATCTCTATCCAGTAGGTCAGTGACTATTGGAACCTTGTGGCTTTGAAAGTTTCAGGGCAGATTTAAAAACATAAGAACAACAGCCATACTGGGACAGACCTAAGGTCCATCTAGCCCAGTATCCTGTCTGCTGACAGTGACCAATCCCAGATGCCCCAGAGGGAGGGAACACAACAGGCAATCCTCACATGATCCCTTTCCTGTCACCCAGATCCAGACAAACAGAGGCTAGGGACACCATTCCTACCCATCCTGGCTAATACCCATTGATGAACCTAACCTTGATGAATCTATCTAGCTTTTTTTTAACCCTGTTAAAGTCCTACTCTTCACAACATCCTCTGGCAAGGAGTTCCACAGGTTGACCATGCGCGGAGTGAAGAAAAGCTTCCTTTTATTTGTTTTAAACCTTCTGCTTATTAATTTCATTTGGTGACCCGTAGTTCTAATATTGTTGGAATATTCCTGTTGTGCAGATTTGAATTCAGAAATCTGGCCATAGTCCATTTTGGGTAAACACATGAGCCCAGAAACAGGGACTTTAGCATTGTGATGGTCAGTGTCATAAAACCTGACTTTTAGGTGGTAAGAATGTCACAGGGATGAGACTGTGATTCTCACAGCCAGTTTTAAGTGCCTAGTCTGCTATATAATACCTGGAGAGAGAGAGGCACCTTAGAACAGGATCCACAAAGCCTGCAAGCTAGGTGGAAAGCTGCCTAAGGTATCCCATGCTGATGCTGATAACAGGTTCATACCAAGTCCCACCCCTCTCTTGGATTTTAGTGCCTGGGCTGCAGGGAGGCGTTTATTTCTGCTTGGCTGCATCTACACTGGCCCCTTCTTCGGAAGAGGCATGCTAATTTCGAACTTGAAAGTAGGAATAAGAGATCCTCCGGAAAAGGGCTTTATTCTGGAGGATCGCGCCAGTCTGGACGCTCTTTTCCAGCTTTTCCCCAAGCCGGAAAAAAAGCGGCGGCCATGTTTATTTAAATCCCGCAGGGGATATTTAAATCCCCTGCGGATTTCCCTATTCCAAAGTTCGAAATTAGCATGCCTCTTCCGAAGAAGGGGCCAGTCTAGACATAGCCCTTATGTTTCACAAACAGGGAACACAGGCATTCTGCCAATTTCTAAGTCATATGCAGGTGTGCTCAAAGGCTGCCTACCAGATCAGTTTGAATTGAGTAACATATTTATGGGCTCCCCTCCTAAAACCTCTTGTTATTGGTAAAGCAGAATCACTATTGCATTTCATCTCAGAAATGCAAGCAAAAGATCCTCATGCACTCATACACATTATATAATAATTTAGGATATTTCAGGATGCAATATAAATTGTTATCATGCCAAATCTTGAACTCGGTAGCCTTTCCGGAGAGAAAACTGTTGTTTTTTTGATTGCTTGTCAGGATTAAGTAAATCCTAAATGGGAACTACAGGGTTTGGCTTTTTTCCTTCACTATTATGATTATTTGTGTTTGTTGTTTATATATTGTAAATAATAGAAAACCAGAACACGGATCACTAATAATTTAAAAATATTGGTATGATGCAACTTGATCTCTATAACAGGGAAACAAGCAGAGGACTAAAATAAACATAAATCTGACAAGATTTGTTAGAAATCAAAGAGGAGAATTCAGTTTGTGGGGTTTTTCATTATGTTTGTATACCGCTTACTCACTTCTATCTCAAACACTATTATTCAGATGGAATCAAAGAAGTAATTTTCCTCTTTATGCAGCAATGGTAAAACTAAATACTATGTAGAGGTAGTTGGATAATTTATTTTGCCATAAAATTGTGATGAAAATGGAAAATAAAAAATATTTTTAATCAAAAATTCCATTGGATCATTTTGACTTTGTCAGAAAAAAAAAAAAACAGGATCATTTTTCTACTGATAAAAAGTCAAAATTCAGCAACAGAAAATGAAAAATTTTTGGCCAAATATTGCTGAAAACTAAGGCTTGATTTTTCCGTCCCAAAACCAAGAGCCACTGTAGAAAAATGAAACACTTTCCATGCAACTTTTAATTCAGTCCAGCAAGTTTAAAACAGCTGTAATACTGGTAAAGTCTTGAGTTACTCTAATATAAAATATAGAGAAACTGGAAACATGTAGAAAAGGAAGGAACCGAAGAATTAGGAGGGAATGGCACGGGGGAAGCAATGAAGGTAACCAGGGCAGCAAGAGTTATGGATGCTCTAGAAAAAAATGAAGCAGAAGTTGAGATGATTTTGGCTTGTCTTCTACAGGTGACTTTGAAGCCCACAATCTCCTATTATATCAGGCTTAACATAATTCTTTTATGCTTTTATTTTATGTATACAGACTTTACAGACTGTTGTAAAATGGTGCAGAAAATCCCACTACTCTTGTTTATTATAGGTTGAACCTCCTAAACCCAGGAATTTCTGGTCTGGCAACATCCATGGTCCAACAGTTCCATGGATATTGCTGGACCCTAGAGCCCTGGCTCCTAGTAACACGAGCTGGTCAGGAATCCAGCAGCGAGGAGCCCCCTGATTGGGACTGGCAAACCCTGTCCCCAGGGAGCCCTGTCCGGGCACTGCAGCAGCGGGCCCACCAGCAGCTGGTGAGCCCCATCCCCAGGGAGCCCCAATCAGGCAGGGCAGAAGTGCTCCACCAGCAGCTGGTGAGCCCCATCCCCAGGGAGCCCCAATCAGGCAGGGCAGAAGCAGGGCCGCTGTAAAGTTCTGTCCCCAGAAAGCCCAGCTGGCTAGCGGCAGCGTGCTGAGCCCAAGCGCTCTAGCAGCAGGGCTGGAGCCCAGCGGCAGTGGGGCTGGAGTTGAGCCAGCTAGAGGGAAAGGCAGTGTCCTGGAAGGCCATGACCTCCCCATATCCAGCAAATTCCCTCATCCCTGAGAGTGCCAGACCAGGGAAGGTCAACCTCTATTGTTACCTGGGGCTGTTAAACTTACCACAATATTGTATATGATCTAGGGTATTCTCATGTATGAGCTTGTTGTGAGATGTTACTTGTTGCTCGGCATTGCTGCATGTGTGTAAACATATCGAGGGAGCTGTGAAATAATACTTTAGAATGGATACATTTGATTGGTCTTCATTGATTGTTGGTCTCATGCTTCATGTTTTCAGCTAAATGTCAAAGTCCTGGGAAAAAACTTCCATTCGATTCTGTGAGGCTGCTTGGATAAAAGTGGGCAGAATTTGGACCGTACTATTTTAGCGCTACAGATTTCTGACAGGTTGGCAAGAGTCACACTTTGAATCTGTTTCACTTGCAGGGCAAATGCAGAAGCAAAGCCACGTACTCTTTTCAAGTGAATAGACTGGAAGATGAGTGCACCTGTTGTTCGGCGATTCAGACAGTTCCGGTGGAGGTTCGGCTGCGCTGTGCCAATGGCACGATGGTGCAGCGTGAAGTACCATCTGCAGTGCAGTGCGAATGTGCCTCTCGTACATGTACATAGGAAGCCTTTCCAGAAGCTGCTTTCATTTAAACTTCATTTTTAATGGCCAAGGAATTTACCATGCAAATCTCACTTACCGGTAGTTTCTTTAGACTGTTTCCTTCCAAAAGATTCTGACCATTACACTCATTATATCAACATACCACACCATAGAAGTAATGTTTATTTACCAGACTATTTCTAACTCTTTTACTTTGGCTATTAGTATGACCTGTATGTCTCACATGTCCCTCGTTTCAAAGGAAATCACACATTTCATACCAAAGCTACCTCTGTTCCACATCAATTTCCCCTCACTTTTATCACTGAAATTATTTACTTCAAAATAAAAAAAATGAACATGACAATAAGAACCAGAGGTTACAGGAGTTATTTACATACAAGTAATTAATCCCATGGTATTCCAAGTTTCCTGACCAAATAATTTATTTGTATCCCTCATATTGGGTCTTTGCCACACACTTTGCCCCACTTTTAGACGTCAGCAGCTTGAGAGGTCTGATGGATACCTCAGAGAGAAAGATGATAATGTTCTCTGCAAACTGAAACATAGCTGACTATGACTCAGCCAAGTATCACTTTGCAGTGTGTCTACAAATGAATGCTAAAGAGACTCCTTCACTCTGGTGGAAGGTGCTGACTGACATCCTTGAAGTTCTCTATTCATTCATAGGTTGTGCAAGCATCCCTTATTCCAGAGAGAGACTGATTCTAGCTATGGGATCCTCTCAGGCTGCTCCAGTTCCAAATCAATTTTCATTTATCTTCTACATCTGTCTTCGGCCACCTACCCCTAATCCATCACTTTTGTCTCCTGTACAAAAGATAACTACAAAGCATTACTCCATAGCAGTCCTTGTTTCCCTAATCCAAACTGTCTCCCCGCCCCTGTCTTGGGAACCATCCTTAAACCATCATATATATTTTTTTCTACTTGGCTCAACATATATTCCCTGAATGGCGAAGTTCTCCTAGTCCTGTCATCTGTTCATTAATATAGATTGGTTAGCATGTATTATCCACACCACATATGCCTACATTACGTACCAGTAACATTAAGCACAAATATCGTAACAGTGATATAACAAACTTGTTATCCTGTTCACTTATACTGAGTATCCTTGCATTTGCTGAAATAAGAAATGTAAGTGGTTAGGAAACTTGTCAAAAGAAAGATACCATTCAGTCTATGTCTTAGTACAAGGAAGCAAAGTACCGTACCGACCAGTACCTGGACTGTTAGTATTCGGAACAAAGATAAGGAACAAAACAACAAGTTAGGGAAGTGAGACAAACTGATGGGCTGGAGAGGTGTAACTTGTAAAAATGATATAAATAATACCAGCTGCCATATGTAAATTGGGGAGCACACCTTCTGTGTAAGATGAATAAAACATCACTGCACAGCATTCTTCTTAGGAGATGGGTAACATATAGAACATTTTGTCTGTATCATATTAATAAACTTGAAATTGGTTATTTGGCCTCTTCAGTATATTTCATAATGAACCAAAGTGTGATCAAGCATTATACAATATATCAACGGTTCTTTGTAAGTTCTGATGTAATCTTTAACCAAAGGTGTTACTTCCTTTCACAAAGCAGAATCAAGGTGCCCTTTTTAAAACCATTTTTGCAAGCAGGAGACATTTTCAACACCCAAAGTTAAAACCTGACAGACCGTTTCAGTCTCTCAGACCTTCCCTACCTGTTTTGCCATGAATTTTTGAGAGACACCATAATTATCCTAGCAATTGAGCTGAACCTAGCAAACTGACCTGCAACACTAATGCTGTGCTTTCTCATATGCATGGAAGAGCAAAGATCATTGACCTCATAAACTGAACTGTAGAAAAAAATTTAAACCACAAACAACTTAAGAAAAATATTTCAAAAACCAAACAACATAAAAATGGCAAAACTAAAGTGATCAGGAAATAAATCCACATAAACAGTTTGGTGTTACAGGTTCTAGTAGTCGGAGATGTAATACACAGTTAATGCAGAAGCAGCCATGAATTAAGCTGGTATTTTGTTAACAAGAGAGCTACTGTAGGTGGTGTTTCAGCAAAAGTGTGCTTTAGCCTTTTACTTTAAATAATTTAAAACACTACATTTGAATAGTTTTTACTTTTTTTCTTAAAATACTTTAAACATTCAATATGATCAGTTACAGAAATTATAAACCTCAAAATATAAGAAAATTGATAAAGCGTGTATTAAAAGATTGTTTAGAAAGTGTTTCTTTAAAAAACAAACACGGTAAGGGTGCATGCTTATCTCAACCAAGCTCAACACATTAGAATTTTTACATAATTTTTTGTTTTAAACTAATTTGGAAAACAATTATTTGCCAAGGAGTTTTTATATTATACATACATACATATATATAAAATTTCCTTGGCAAACAAACAATATATATTATTTTAGAAAATAGAGCGTCCACACTGATTGGACACTGAATTGTATTTAAGGCCACCCGGAACCAGTTCAGGCAGGGCATCAGGATGCAGCTACTTTGGGAGCTGCTGCATGAGGCTGAGACTCATGCTTAAAGGGACCCCCTTCCACAGCCATTTCTTAGGTTCTTTACCTTTGTCTACCTCATTGAGGGACAGCAAAACCTTTGCTCTGCTATGGTTGCCCTTGCAGGCACCTCAGCTTGCCAGCCATGGAGCCAGAGCTGCCTCTTGGCACTCAACAGCCCTTATTAGTCGTGCTGAAGTTTCTGAAGCAGTTTCTGCAGGCTGCTCTCCCTATCAAAGAGACCCTCACCATCTGTCTGAGAGCACAGCTCTTCCAGATGCACCACGCCAGGCACCACTGCTTGTGACAGCTGGACACCAGTTCCGACTGGTGGGAGCGGCTCGTCATGAAGCAGTGGGATGACCAGCAGTGGCTCCAGAATTTCCGCATGCAGGAGATCTTTCTGGAGCTGTGTGCCTGGCTTGCCCCTGCCCTCACATGATGGGACAAACACATGCAACCCGCCATCCCCCTGCAGAAGTGGATTGCCATCGCTGCTTGCCCCTGCCCTCACATGATGGGACAAACACATGCAACCCGCCATCCCCCTGCAGAAGTGGATTGCCATCGCTGTGTGGAAGCTCACCATGCCGGACAGCTACTGATCCAACAGGAACCAGGTGGCGTGGGGAAGTCAACCGTCAGGGCCTTTGTAATGCAGGTATGGAACTCTCAGGATAGAGTCCCAAGGAGAGGCGTGAAGTACGGGCATGGGGAACCCTAAGGAAAGCAGGGGTGGGAGTAGGGGGAAGCCCCCTTTTCTGGGTGGTTTTTTAGTCCTACCCTCTCACAGCCCTGCTAGGGGATGGGCTACATAGTAGGGTGGCTTCTGGTATGTGTGGGCTTGCGGACATCCAGAGAGCTCTAGCACCCCTTGATTGTTTCCTTCTATAGAGGATGTGGGCCATCAACACTTTCCTGCTGTGCAGGGTCATCCACCTCAGCGACATGGACCCCATCATTGCAGACTTTGCCACCATGGGTTTCCCCAACTCCAGGAGGGGCGTGGCGGGTATTGACGGTGCCTACATCCCCCTCTGGGCCCCCAACCATCGGGCACCTATGTATATAAACTACAAGGGGTACTTCTTCATGATCCTGCAGACACTGGTCAACCAGCACAGGTAGTTTACTGACATCTTCGTTGGCTGGTTGGGAAAGGTGCACAACGCCCCCATCCTCTGCAACTCCAGTGTCTTCCAGAAGCTTGACACCGGTACTTTCTTCTCTGACCACACTATCAGAGTTGGCGACATGGACATGCCACTGCATTGTGGGGGACGTGGCCTACCTTCTCATGCTGTGGCTCATAAAAGCCTTACACCCTGATGGGACACCTTGACCCCAGCAAGGAACACTTCAATGCCAGGCTTGGCTGGGCCCACGTGGTAGTGGAGGGCACCTTTGGGTGTTGAAAGGCCAGGTTCAGGTGCTTCCTCACCTGGCTGGACATTGGGGAGCGGAACATCCCCCAAGTGGTGGCCAGGTGTTGTGTGCTCTACAATATTTATGAGCAGAAGGGGGAGAAGTTCCTCCCTGGGTGGGGTGTAGAGGCTGGCTGGGTCAGCAGGGCCTTTGAACAGTCGTGCACAGCTGCCATCCAGCAGGTCCATCAGGTGGGAGTGTGCATCCGCGAATCCCTGAGGGAGAATTTCTCCCAAGGACCCCAGTGACACTCTCCCCTGGACCTCCCCACTAGGGGCCTGTGCCTTTCCCCCCTTTGCCTTTCCTCCCTCCCCCATCCCTTCCTACCCTCCCCCATCTCCTGCAGACACAATAAAACTGACATTTTTTTTAAAACCCCCTTTTTTTATTTAGGGTTAAAGTAACTGGGGAGGGACTGGGGAAAGAACCTGGGAGAGGACAATGGTAGGAGGGGGGGGATGGGAACCTTCAAGGGTGGAGAAGGGAAGACGAAAGGGTCAAGACCAGGAGTGGGATTGGCACCTAGCTCGGTTGGTTCCACCGTCTTGTGTGCTGGGATCTTAGTGACTATGGGGACGGCCAGAGGGAGAAGCAGGAGGTGGATCTGGAGCAGGGGCTGGCATCGGAGGAGGGGCAGAACCAGGAGCTGGGGCTGGGGCAGGAGTGGCAGCAGGAGCAGGCTCTGTGCTGGTGAGGAGAGACTGAACAGCCACGCACATGGTGCTGCCCTGCTGAAGCAAACCCCTTCAGGTTTCTCACCACAACTCTATGTCTTCCCAGAGCCTTTGGTCCAGTGTCTCATGGAGGGCCCAGAGCAGAGACGTGCTCCCACAGCAGTTCCTCCTGCTGTCTCCTGTGCCTGAGGGTCCCCTGGTGTCAGGCAGCTGCCCCGCATGGTGTCCAGCTGCGGAGAACAGAGACGGTCAGTCATCCCTGGAGATGCTGTCCCTGAAGCCTTGCCCTCACGTGTGAGCTGAGAGCCACAGTTCTCAGGTCAGAAGGAAGTGATGTGCTGGGAGCAAGATCATCTGCAGACTGGACAGCAGGCCCTTTCCTACAGAGGCCCAGATGTCCTCAGGGCTGGGGAGCCTCACCACTCCCACATCCTGGGGACAAGCAAGCATGGGAAGTTGCTGGACATACCAGGATCCTGCAGGCAGGAGGGAGGCCTTGGACCACCTGGGCTTGACTCAGTGCTGTGCACATGCCTTTGTGGTGGTGTCCCCTAGGCAGAAGACCTGTATCGCTGGCCACTGGAGGAGAGGGGGTCAGGGTGTAGGGGGGAGGTGTGTGTGTGAGCGACAGACACTCCTGCAGCTGGTAGTGCTGTCCCTGAGAGCAGGTGCCCATGTGCCGTGTGTGACACTCCTGCGTGTGTGTGTGGGAGTGAGGGGGAGCATGTCCTCAGCCTCCTAGTGGTGGCTTGTGGTGGGAGGGTGTCCCACCTGGGTGTCAGAAGTGTGGCTGGCCTCCCCAAACCCTGTGAGCAGGAGCCCAGGGTTCTCTGGTGCAGCCTCCTGGGGCTGTGTGGCCCAGACTGTTACTGCACGTGCATCCACATGCACGGACTGCAACACGATCCCTAGGCCAAGAAGGCTGAGCAAAGAGCACGGCCCCGCCCCTCAGCGCCTGCCACCTCCATCCTGTCTGTGTCAGGTAACTAAGGTTACTCACTTGATGTTCTTCCCCCAGCCTTGGAGAATACCTGGGACACATCCAGGCTGTGGGGTACCAGCTCCAGGTGATGGTGCTGGCTGTGTGGGGGAGTCCTCCTTCTCCTCCTCTTCCTCCCCACAATTGGCTCAGCCCCCCAGGGGGGCAACAACAGGTATCTCCAGCCCTGAGTCAACCACCAGCAGTGGGAAAGGAACTGCACGCCCCCTCCCCACCCAGGAAGTGATGCAGATCTTGGTAATAGGGGCAGGAGTGGGGTTCTGCCCCAGAGTGGGAGCTGACCTCCCTGGACCTGGCATATGCCAATAAGAGGTCTTTAACTTTCATCCAGACCTGCTCCTGGGTCCGGACATGGCCCTTTGTGACCAGGCTGTCAACCATGCGGCCATAGATTTCAGCATTGCATCATCTCATAAGGAGATCCTGGAGGTTTTCCTCCTTGCACCAAACCTCAATGGGGACAGGATCTCCGCTCCAGACCAGGAGGGTGCCCGCCTTTTGGGACCCCTGGAGCTGCTCCTGTGAAGGCCTGTTTCACGGGGCTTGAGGCTGGGCCATAGGTGCCAATGCCTGTGGCAGGGAGAGCCGCGTGGTCAGGGTGCTGCTCTCAGGCCGGCTTCCTGCCACAAGGCTTGTCCAGGGTGCCTGCAGCTTTAAGAGGGGCCAGGTGACAGGAACTATAGAGACCTGATTACTTTGGATGGAGGGGCCAGCAGGGCACCTGGGGTATTTCCTGGAGGCCTCCTCT